TGAGGATTAAGTTGTGTACAGATAATGGATGGATGGATGCAGAAAAACTTGAGATATTGACTTTTTTCATAGTAAAAAATAAATTGTAACTCATTCTGTCAGTTTGGTAGTGTAATGCACACAGCAACTAAACCCACTTTGATTCAAAACATCCTGCATGAACAAGAGTTTGTTGTGTTTTAATGGCCATGAAGTGTAACAGTGTGATACCTCTCCGCTGCCTTCTCATATGTATAAACTCGTTTGTTCTCTTGTTTCTTTTTTTCAAACTGCAGCATCTCCTCTATCCCCTGCTTCATTATTTTGGGGATGTCGCTCTGCAATAAAAGGAGAGTTGAGAAAATCAGAAGCACAGACTGGAGCGGCTCACTGGGATCATTTAGAAGTTGCATGATAATGCGCCATTTCCATCGACATTCATGAGACCATCTTTCATAGACCATCTTTCCTGTAGTGCAGTAATAATAAAAAACTGTTCAAGTACTGCAAGCGTAGGTAGAAATCCAGGAAAGTCCAGCAGCACAAGGGCATCCACCATCTTGGGAAACAAAGCGCTGAACTGCAGGAAACACAGTGAAAACCACAATAACATGCGATACAATACAGAGAAATAGATGTCATGTATATTGTGTAATATATTGTGTGATGAATTTTAGTTACCATGGCTGCAACGTTGCTGCCTGTAAGGAAGTAAAGACACGGTCATACTTAAAATCATTTTTGTTATAGATCTTATCTCTGAAATAAGGACTTTTAGTTGTAAGGAAGGAACTAAGGATTCTTTTTTATAGATAGAGAGATAGAGAGATAGAAAGATAGAGAGATAGAGAGATAGATAGATAATTCAGTCCAGGGCTTCCCAAAGCTGGGGTTGGGGCTCCCCAGGAGGTCGAGAGACACAGAGGGGGCGGTCGTACAATGATTTCCAGAAATCAAATAAAACTTTGAGCCATAATTGTTCCAATAGATACAAAAATCTCAAATATTGCTCCTTAAACACACAAACATCACCTCTGCTGCAAACTGTGTGTTCACTCAGTCCTGCACTTCATACATGGAGGTTACTTTGATGGATGCATCCTGCTGCTAGGATATTTACTACAGTAAAATGACCAGAAAATAGTTGTAGTGTTATTCTGTGCTGCTGTTATGCCTGCATTTAGAGGTCTGATGCATGTGCTGCATACAAAGTTTGTTTGTTTTGACCACCTGCTGGGATATTTAAGATGTCAGGGGCAGAAGAGCTCTGGAGAAAAAGAGTGAAACATGTTCAATGTAATGTTTTTTTCAACTGCTTGTTTTGTCCAAAGTTCAAAGATATGAAATCACAAATAATATAACACACAATGTAGCAGCAAACCGTCATCTTTGAGAAGCTGTAACTACACAATGATTGACATTTTAGGATTAAACAGTTCCATAAGTTTCTCGAGATCCATTCTTTCCTATTTGAATCAGTGACTGTTCAACCCTCCTGTTATCTTTGGGGTCAATCTGACCCCATTCAATGTTTAACATCTCTAAATAAGTCATTGACATCATTTTTTTGTTTTATTTAAAGGGCTATTTACATATAAGCTTGGGTAACAATTTTAATTCTGATATTTTCTGGAGGTTTAAATTGCTGGGGTTGTCAGTAAATTTGAAGGTAATGTGGGGTTAAAGCACTGTTTTGATTGATTGCTTTACAACAGCAAAGATAGATTAACAACAACAACTAACAATATATCACATTTTAAAAAGCCAAATTCTATTTAAAGGGTATGAATAAAGTATCTATCTATTTAATATTTGAGGTTTAACACTGGAAGATGTACAAAAGCACAGAAGTAAAAGTAGAAGACTAGAGTAGAAGTAGTTGGAAGGAATGAACTAAGGATTCTTCTGTAAAGTAGAGTACAAGTAGAAGACATGTCATATGTGTGTCAAATGTGTAAATTTAGGTAAATCAGACGTTATGATTTTTACATTAAAACGGAAATGTTGCGAGCATTACAAAATTGTGAGCATCAGACACTTCATTTCCTACATTCTGGTGAATTTTCAGCTTTAACTTATGGAAATATCTTCATTTATTTAAAGGACAACACAAAATTTGTCATGAGTCAATCATGAGTAAATACTATAGTGATCTTTCTAAATAATTTACATCTTTCCTGTTTTTATTGAAGAGGGCATCCCTCCTGAAATCTACCCCTATAAGTTTCCATTGTGTGCGACTCACCCATACTATGTCCAATGATGGAGAACTTCGTCCAGCCAAGATCTGTGGTAGGAAAGTCACATAAAACCCATTGAAATAAATCTTGCTCAACCCAGTGTGTGATTGAACAGACCGCTGCCACAAATGTTCTGAAACATCTGGGACTCACACACCGTTGATGATTCTGTGCACATCTACCACATATGCAGGAAACGTGTAGAAGACTCCAGGAGGACGATGTGATGACAGACCGTGACCTGCCATGTCCACGGCCACATACCTGCACTCTGAGAGGAAGCAGGAAGGAAAATTTAAATGAAAAAAAAAAACAACACACACACACACCTGGAGCCATGATAATCTCAACATGCTTTGGTTGAACAAGCTGTCAGTCCACCAGCTGAGATCAGACTGAAATATCTCCACAAGTCATACAACTGTTAGCATGAAATGTCTTTAATTACATCTCCTGGATGGAGCAGGTGTCATATTTTGTACAGACATTCACATTCTGGAGGAGGACGAACTATAACTACTGTTGTGATCCCTTGACTTTTTATCAGCATCGGTTCATCGACTAAAGGGATTTATTGGTGCAGCTTGTTTGCCTTGATCCTGATCATGCTGACCGTGGTGCCACTACAACATTCACACCTGTGGTTTTAAGTGAAACAACTACTGAATTGCCACTACAGCAGTGATCCCACTGGTGCATGATGCCATCTGTCCCACCCTTTATTCTATCTCCTTGGTGCCAAACCTCTTTAAACACCCCTTTCTATCGTTGGGAAGCCTCACATTAAGATTTTTTAGCTCCTCTGGCAGTTGTTTTCCATCTGGAGCCAGAATGCAGAAGTGCAGATGAACACAGGCTTTAGGTCCAAAACTGAGAAAGTTCTAGTGTTCATGGATCATTTTTAGAACTATATTCACACAATTAGGCTGATTGGAATTTAAATGTGTACTCGGGTAAGTTTTAACGATCACAGATTTTTTTTCTGAGTTGTGATCACAAGTGTATTCACTTCTGTTGTGTGTTGAGACTTTGGGTCTGAATTTTTAAAATAGTCTCTGTAAAGCATCAGTTTCAGATTTTTTAAAGACACAATACTCTACTTGCCGACTTAAAAACTATGCAATTATTAGGAGGTGATGTACTTTGACATTTAAGTAATTTTGCACGGGGATTTGCTCACTTTTGTTGTATAGTGAATGTGACTTCAGCTGTTTAATCACTGGTCATGTTTTTGTCTTAACTAATATCAAAACATCAGCATGCTAAACTAACACGGTTAAACCTCATGTGCCTCATATTCAAAGTTGAGCACTGTGAGCATGTTTTTGCATCACTGTGCTGCAGGCTTGCTGTTCGGTCTTTAAAACAGGGCTACAGAGCAGGTGGGTGATGGAGCACACATGCACAGATGGTGATGAGGACCACGCCGCAGCTGACAGCAAATCCAAAACACTGATAGATGTACCCACGTATCACCATCCTGTTTACTGAATCTTTACTTTCCTCCAGTCTGTGCCGAATTACCTTCAGGAAGCAGAGGAATCAAGCTGTTGAATGTGCCGCAGTTATCAGCCCAGCCGTGCAGGCACAGCACAGGATGACCGTGATCAGGACCCCAGACTTTCCCTCTGATCTCCCCCCATGGCACTGGTACAGAGAGCTCTGAAACTGGACACAACACAGCACTCAGTCTGCAGCACAAACATCTGTCACGTATTTGATGGTAGTATAACTTAAGAACTGCAGGACTTCATAGGACTGAACTAGTCCTAGAGTTAAAGCATTAAAAACACTCTTGGATCATGAAGAAGTACTACCTGCTTGTTTCACTGTAGATGACATTTCAGAGCCCTTCAGAAGTCCTTGCATGTGAAAAGTGGCTGCAGGGAAACTGGGAGGAAACACCTGAACTCCATTCAACAAAATGCATGGAGACCTTTGACCTTTGGAGCATGATTTTACTGGCTGCTCAGAGTCATGAGCTGAACTTACAGCCAATCACAGGCTGCAGAGGCGTGACTTAAACTGCAACACATCTGGTGCTTTTTTGCCCTCAGTACTGTCTGTCAGGCAGCTGCTATAAATCTGCTACCTACCATTCATTGCACTTTCTGTATTTCTAAGTTGCAGGAAGAAGTTAAGGAACAATTAAAAGGCAAGAATAAATCTTTAGAGTCAAGATTAAAGTTGGTTAAAATAGTGTGTCCTTACTAATGAAACCTTCTGATGATAAAGTCATGTGAAGTTCACAGCCACATCTGTGAGAAAACAGTGTAAGTTGTGCCAGCTAGACACCTTCTCTGTAAACTTGACACACAAAGAAAGGTTTATTGTGCCTCAATACATCGCTTAAGTATTTTTTTCTCAATCCTTTCCACCCTGGGAGGTTCATGAAGTGGGGATCAGGTTGTTATTAAAACTGACACGAGTGCAATTAAGATAGACGCGTCACTGTTGTGCTTTGTTTCTGGTGCTTCAAACCTGGTAGAGTTGTAGGTGACAATTGTGAGAACAATTTCAATAACATTACTGTCACTTACTCTTATATATATCGCTGCTTTGTACTCTCTAAGTTACAGCGTGGAATGTAAAATGACTGCAGCTCATTTGTCTCTTCCTTTGAGCCCAAGACTGTTCAGCTGTGGAGCTGTTCACATCTGCAGGAATTTTGGGGACATTTATTTCAGGTGGAAATGAAAAATAAATAAATAAATAAAAAACATTTTTTAAAAAAAGGGCCTAATGCAGGGGTGTCGACATCCGGTCCTCGAGGGCCGCAATCCTGCATGTTTTAGATGTTTCCCTCTTCCAACACAGCTGATTCAAATGATCAGAATCGTTATCAGACTTCTGCAGAGCTTGATGATGAGCTGATCATTTGAATCAGGTGTGTTGGAAGAGGGAAACATCTAAAACATGCAGGACTGTGGCCCTCGAGGACCGCAGTTTGACACCCCTGGCCTAATGGATCAAGCATTTCATATATTTGAAAAAAAAAGAAGCATTTTTAAAAAAAGTAGTCCGTATTACAAAACATTACAAAAAAGAATTTCTATCCAAATAACAATACAAATTTATTAGACCACCTGTCTAATTTGTTAAGCACTGTAATATATATAAGCACTAAGCACTGCATATACAGTATGTCTGCAAATATTTGATTATATCTTTTCATATGACAACACTGAAGAAATGACACTTTGCTACAATGTAAAGTAGTCAGTGTACAGCTTGTATAACAGTGTAAATACAGCACATCTTCAACCTCAGCCTGCAGCTGGGGACACTGCCCACCCTCTGGAAAACATCCTGCATCGTTCCGGTGCCGAAAAAGACCCGGCCCAGTGAGCTGAATGACTACCGACCGGTGGCACTCTCTTCACACCTGATGAAGATGTTGGAGCGGCTCCTCCTCCACCTCCTCAGGCCCCAGGTTCAAAACGCCCAGGACCTTCTACAATTTGCCTACTGGGCAAATGTTGGGGTGGAGGATGCTGCTGTACCTCCTCCATTGAGCCCACTCACACCTGGACAAGGGAAGCGGCACTGTGAGGATTCTTTTTATGGACTTCTCAAGTGCCTTTAATACCATCCAGCCCCCGCTACTGCGGGGAAAGTTAGAAAGGATGGGAGTGGACTCGTGCCTGGTGGACTGGATCTCTGATTACCTCACTGACAGACCACAGTATGTCAGACTGAAGGACACCACATCTGACACCGTGGTCAGCAGTACAGGGGCCCCTCAGGGGACAGTGCTGGCCCCTCTCCTCTTCACCCTGTACACCTCGGACTTCTGTTACAACTCGGAGCTGTGCCACATACAGAAGTAAGCAGATGACACAGCCATCATGTGGTGTATCAAGGATGATAGAGAGAGTGAGTACAGGAGTCTGGTGGAATACTTTGTTGTCTGGTGCAGAGAAAACCACCTGCAGCTCAACGCCTCAAAGACAAAGGAACTGGTCATAGACTTCAGGAAATCTGGACCACGCCCATGACCAGTTCTGATTGAGGCACATGAGGTTGAACTTGTACAAAACTACAAGTACCTTGGGCTGTGGCTGGACAACAAGTTGGACTGGACATGCAACACAGACTACCTGTCCAAGAGGGGACAGAGCAGGCTGTACTTCCTGAGGAGGTTCAACATCTGCAGGAAACTCCTGCGGATGTTCAACCAGTCGTCGGTTGCCAGCGTCCTTTTTTACAAAACTAACAGGACCAAAAACTCCTTTGTTCCCCGAGCCATCAAACTCTGAGCTCGGAGGGAGGGGGAGGAGCAGCAAGTGGGGAGAGGTGGGGAGCGAGGGGTGAGGAGTGAGGACATTGGGGTGAGATAGAGCATCATGCTCTATCACCAGACTGTGTTGTTTTTCTAGTACAACAATTTCCCTGAGGTTTACACCGAAGGGATCAATAAAGTTCTATTCTATTCTATTCTATTCTATTCTAAATTTACTGTCCCCTTAAAATAGCTTAATACACAGCCATTAAGATCTAAACTGCTAGCAACAAAAGTCAGAACACCTCTAAGAGAAAATGTCCTATCTTTTGTGACATGCTGACACACCATCCAGCATCATGAAGTGCACTCATCTCGCAATGTTTTACCATTTTGAACAGGAATGAGGAAGAAATTATTTTGGTAATTATTAATGCTGTTAATTTAGTGTAGCTGTGGCATAAACCTTACACTGGGTGGTGGTGTAAGAAATATGTTAAGGACTGTAGAGGCAGATTTACTTGTGGATACATTTGGATTTAATTTTGTGAAGGTGGATCCCACTGCAGAAGACACGCTCAGTATCGAATCTACATTTCCCTCAGTGGATGAATCACTGCCATCAATCAGTCTCATTTCCGCTGGGAGAACCTTACTGTGGCTGCAGCTATTTCCATTATCAAATAATCTCTAATTAGTTTCTCCACTAATTAATTAACTGTTACGCCTCCACAACGGTGACAAAAGCCCAACATGATTTCATTTTTGCCCCAAACAAATTGGCAGTGCTAATGTTTGAGATCTGGTAACTGTCTAATTTTTTGTCAGTTTTACATTTTCTATAGATTAATTGACTAATTTACTGTTTCCTTGAAACCACTGAGGCAGAATTCACGTTTTGACCCATTTAAACGACTTTAATTACCTACTAATGACGTGGAAACATCATTATGATAAACAAAGAAATGTTTTTTCCCCCTGTTTGCAGATCTGCCTTGACAATAAGGGCTTTATTGTCCAAATGGGATTACATGCAGATAAGGCAGCGAAACAAGTCATAAAATACAAGCGAGCAGATTTAGTGCAGTTTCTGTACTTTACTGTGTATCTATTTTTGTCTCTTTTCAAGGTGATCATTTCTTTGCTGTCAAGACTATAAGACTCTGGTAAGACCTCTCTGTGCAGATTAAGACAGCTGGAGCAGTTTCCTCTTTGATAAAAGCGGGTTTAAGTGAGTTTTTTTTTTTTTTTTTTTTTTTTTTACAGTTTCTGATTCTGATAAATGGCGCAATTTTTGTTTTTTTTTTTTTTTTTTTTTTTTTTTAACTGCATGAGCTTCATTTCCTTAATCGAATGAAGTTTTTATGTTCAGTCTTTTTGTTGTGTTGTTTCTAGTTTCCTATTTTTAGGCACTCATTTCCTTTGCCTGAATGTTTTATTGCCTTGTGTTTTGTAAAGCACTTTCAGAACACATAATAATCATTGTAATTACTTTGCATTATTCTTGATTATTCCCCCACTATCACAGAAAAAGCATTGTGGGATTGCACTGTCAATCACATCCTGTTTCTCTGCTGAGCTGGTCCTATTTCCATCATCGACTCATTATGTTTCTGCAGAACTTTGCTGTTGTAAATAACGATAACGAACCATTCATTTAGGAGCATTTGTTCAGGTGATGCAACATGAAGTTCTTTACATTTAAAAGTGAACATTTTCAGGATTTAACTAATTAAAGCCTGGAGTTCAACATCAATTACTTTTACAAACAGGAATCGATCATGAAAACATCAACAGCCTGCAGGATCTAATCCAATGTGCGATAATGTGGACAAAAGGAAGGAGGCACCAGCTGAATCTGAGGAGAGATCTATCAGAAAGCATCACAATGGAATGTGTCGTGTGTAATTTATGGGCAATGATGTGATCAGCTCTGAAGTCAGACTGAAACGGGCTTCACACAAAAGCCTGAAAATGAATTCTGTAAGTTGAACATTAGCTGGTAACTCACAGTGTTTCCAAGACAGAAAGGGTGAAGAGAAGAGAATGTAGCCATTTGTGTTGCTTTTGTGCGGCAGAGCAGGTAGATTTTTCCATCTGAGAAGGTCGATTTAATTTAAAAGCAAAAAGTATTCAGCATTCTTTAAATTTAAAATGCATCTTAAAAGCTGTAGGAAAAGTTTAAAAAGAATTATTGAAATTTTAATTTTTTTTTATGAAGACGTAAAACAGGACAAAAAAAAAACCTTGCATGTTTCTATTAGAAACTTCTCTGGGCCAATTTGTTCTTATTTTTATTTTGAATTTTTTTGCATTGATTAAACAATTCAGATCAGTAAGAGATGTTTCGATGTGCTTGTTGGCTTGTATTTTTTAACCTTTGCTCAGAGCCTCACAAGCTGTTTTACTTCTCCATCTTCATACTATGCTAGACTGACTTTCTGCAGCTTTCTATTAAAGACTGATATGAGAGTGAGAGAAAATCTTCTTTTCCAAGCTTTTGGCAAGATGACAAACAAACAAGCATTTTTTCCCAAAAAAAAAAACAGCCGTACAGTAAAAAAAAAAAAAAAAGACTTTTTTTAGTTACTCATGAGTGACTCATTTCAAAATTTAATGTTGTAGTAATATCACAAGTTTTATTATTAGAGGATATTTCAGAATCCTCTGTTACAAAGTCAGCAAATAAATCAGACAAATTATA